TCTGGAGAGTAAATTTAGTTATTTAATTTAAACAATAGGCAAGAATTGTTTANATTTAAAATTAGATATGTTGAAAATAAAGAAAATACATTAAAATAATTCTAATTTGATTTCAGAATTAATAATAATCTTAATTCCTAATTTTTTTTCCTACAAAAACTTACATATAAATTGTAACATTAAAAAAAAATGATTTTATAGCAAATTCATTTCGTTTTTTTAATTTAAATTTTTTCAATATTGACATTCTACCAATATGATTCCTAATGTAATAAAGATAGAAATATCACACATATTATTTAAATTTATATTTAATATATTTAATTCTGAAAATATTTAATTAAAATATAAGATAATGTCCTTAACTCAATTTATTAGAATAAATAAATAATCTGCCAGATTTTTATCAGGCTATTTTAAGTTTGTTTCAGTTTACTAATTAGACTCAAAATATCCCAATAAAATATCTGGCAGATCATTTGGTTAATTAAAACGTAGGTTTTCAATCAAACAAACTCCAAGAAACATTAATAATTTCAACATAGGGAGTGAAGCAATTCAATATTGTTTTAGGAAATATTCAGCTTTCAACAAAGATCTATGCTTCATCAATTATAGTTAAGATTATTTACTACTTCCAGAAAAGTCTCTTTTATAATTAAATCATATTGCAATTGTAAGAATAATCATTTTATTGTTATAATGCCAATGAAAACGTGTATAAAAACACAAAATTCTAATGTTGGATTTCAATCCATTATTATAAGAAAATAAATGGTACTGTTTTTGGCTTTACTACAGCCATTATCAGCTTTGCACTCAATNAATTGTATCAACAGCAAAGAAGAAATATCATTATCAGTAGCGTAGCAAACCCTGGTATACGACACATGATGAGATGAAAGTTAGGCTCACAATGGCGCATGCGCAAATGATGACAACGATTGCACGGGTTTCCGACGATATTCCATTTCAGAATTCTTTCAAAAAAGATCAGCTCAATCGAACGTAAATTGGTTTGCCCGTTTTTTCACCTGAAGAAGAACCAAAGGTTTAAAAGTGAAAAAATAATATTGGACTTCACACCGAATATTGGATAAGTAAAGGTGAGAAAATTATCATCTAAGCGTTAACAACCTACAGCTATCACTACAAACAACTAGCGCTTTCAACGAAACTATTTTCGTCTTCTTCAGGTTGATAGAACAGTTAATAACTTTCAAATTCAAATTACAGCAACGGCAAACCAGCATTGGAATAAACTCAAAATAGAACAAAACAGAGAATTTGAAAGATGCGCGCTCAATGCCGACGCGCATGAGCAATAGATTATTTTGCGAGAATGCGGAGCTAGTGATGTTGTTTTAACCTGTTGTATAAGTTGACCCACAAGGAAGGCACATCCAGCGTGGGGGTGTTGCATGGATTTAGCAACGCTGGTAAATAGTACCTCCCATATATACAAGAGGTTCCTGCTATCACACTGTTTGAGTATCCCCACTTGGTTTCACATCAGAGTGTATTGGTGTTGCAACACCAATCTTGCCAACTCAGTGTCGCACCTACCCATACTAATAGATTGTTTGTGTTCGGAGATGCGGCAAGACAACATTCTGGATGTCGCTCCGATATACTGGGTATGTGTACCGGCTATTGTACTTTCCAATGGGATGGAATACACTCCAGACTGCTCTAGCACAAAAAAAGGATCCCTGTCATTGCATAACACTCTTCTAAGGTTTGGTCGTGGCGACACTGGTAGGAAAAGCGCATGCTGCCTAAAAATACGGCAAATGCGGCCAGTAATATGGCCACAGAATGGTAATGACAGCTGGATTATCGTACATTCTTCCGAGGCCTGCAAAGTTGTGTCAGGAAATAGAGACCGTTTAACTTTTCTAAGGATGTACCTGTACTTATATCTAGCATAACCTGCCGCACTTATAGCTTCAAGCTCGATGTTGACAAGAGCTTGATTGGAAGACAACAAAAAGGCCCTTCTAATTAGAGGGGCAATAGCTGCGTTGACGTAGTGCTGCGGTTGGTACGCGGTGGCAGGGATTAAAGGAGGTATGCTGTTGAACTTATGGAACATGGAGAACTCTATCCCATCCTGGGCTTTGGTGATCTTTAAATCTAAAAACGCAATCTCACCTCCCTTTTCCTTTTCCCAGGTAAACTTAATGGTAGAATAAACCTCCATAAGATAACTTTTGAGGATACGGAATTTCTCTTCCGTGTGTTGCCAGGCTACTATGATATCGTCCACGTATCTAAGATATAATAGCGGGTATGCTACGGTGAGAGGGGAGCTAAATACTCTCTGCTCAACACGCCTCATGAGTAATTTTGCCAATATATCAGAGAGCTCATAGGTACCCCTTGTTTCTGTAGATATACTTTCCCGTTGAACCGAAAGTAATTATTTTCCATGATAAAAAGCAAGGCCTCTCGTATTTCTAGGATTTGCTGCGCTATAAAGCTCTCCTTAACAAGCATAGCATTGGCAAGCATAACCACCTCAAACTGTGGTACCAAGTGCAACCACATCCATCTTGTAGAAGTTGTAATTGCTATGGGATAGATTATCCAATACAGAAGAAATAGCGGCCTTTGCTGCAATGGACGATGACGTAACTAGGGGCGATGGAGGAAGGAGCCCACCCAGTAACTTAGCTATAGCCTTCTCCAGGTGGTAGGTTGGGTGGGACCTTTTATTAACCAGCAGTTTTAGAGGCCAGTTCTCCTTATGGGTTTTTACTTCAAAAAAGAGCCTAGGACAAGCTACATTGGGCGGCGGATCCACACATGCAGGAAGAGCGGAAATACTTGGAAGAGATATTATTTTCCTAGCCTTCCTTAGTACCGAAGGGGTTGGATCAGACTGTAAAACTTCAGCATGGGAAAGCCTGAGGAAATCCGAGGCTCTGGTCAGAAAATCCTCTTCCTTGCACAAAACAAACTTCTCCTTGTCCAAAATCAGGAGCTGTAGACCTCTCTAGCCGTAGTAATAATTTCTGACATATAAACAGAAATTATTACTACAGGTGATATAATAAAGAAATTTTGTTCTTTCCTGAACTAACTCTAATTGCTGTGCCAATCTTTAAACACCAGTATTAAGACCTATTAATAAGTAAAGTCCAAGTAGACAATTAACAATACATTAGAATTTAAGGACAGTAAGGCTTTTACAATTATTTGTTGATCACCGTTTATTTCTTTAAAATGTTCCAGAATAAATGGTGATCAACAAAGCTTTTTGGAAGCAACTATGTCTTTTTATTTAAAAAAATTTTATCATCCAGCAAAATTTTAAAATTAACAAATATTTGTGTTTTTCAGATAAATTTTTGTTCATCTCTTTTATAATAAATGAATTTATCTATTTCTATGTAGAAATTAAAAGTGTCTGTAGAAGTAATTTTTTAAAATATCCTTTTTCGTGATAAAGATTTAATACTTATTTCTATAATCTAGACATGTTAATCCTTAAATATACAAATATATTTAATGATTGGGCCACAAGTATGTATAATATACTTGTGGCCCAAAATTTCATGACATCTTCCAATGTGGCCCAGAGAAACAAAAAGGTTGGACACCCCTGATATATAGCATATGTGACAAGGGCTTTTTGCTGTTCCACCATATAGTATGTAGAATTCCAGCAAGTAGGAACATCTTGAATTAATTTGTGTTTCTGCAAACTTAACTTGTCTTGCAAATCTTCCAATTTGCTTACAGCTACGCAGAATGATTAAAATGTGTGACAATATTTCTATTAATTGTGATTATAGTTTTCACATTTTGTTGAGAAAATATACATTCATTTAGTGTCAGCTGCAGTGTATATATAAAGCCCAACTCTTCTATTCCAAATACCGGTATTTTGAAAAACCTTGTACTCACTCGTTTACCTTTATTGTCTGGTACTTCTTAACCATTCGTAAAACAAATATTTTCAGCCTCAGTCGAGGTCTGCATCAGGTTAAAAGAACAATTGGATTCCAATCTTAGAACAAACAATTTTTAAAAAATTATATTCGAACATATGCGCGTGTTATGTATCGTCATCGTTTCCTTGTTCTTTGCATACATAGCGCCATGCATAGGAAAGCGCGTTGCCATCTTTGGTGTTATATACAGCCCTGGAGATATACAGAGCTGGCCAGAAGGGAGATGTATTAACACCAAAGATGGCAACGTGCTTTCCTATGCGTGGCGCTACGTATGCGAAGAACAAAGAAACAACAATGATACATAACATGTGCATATGTTTGAATATAATTTTTTAAAAATTGTTCGTTCTAAGATTGGAATCCAATTGTTCTTTTAAAATAATGCAAGTATGAAAAAATATATTAATAATAAGATCAATTTTGCTCAATATTCAGTTAGTTTAATATACTATTATTGAATTAATCACAAATATCACAAAAACTATTTGAAAGATAATATATAATAATGGCGATATTATGTGTAACATTGATATTAAATATACTGCTTCAAAACAGTTCATTAGCTACACACCAACCAATGCTGTTTATTATTGGACTAGAAACAGCTATAATATTAATAAATTATAAGACAATTTGGCAATAGAATTAGGCATTAGGTGCCATCTCTTGATAAATTTAATAATTATAATTTTAATTAAATAATTTAGAACTACTGGAAGAAAAGAATTGGACCGGAGTGGGACTCAAACCCATAACTCCTGCTTACTGTGCAGATGCGTTGCCAATTATGCTACCCGGACCTCCAGTCCAATCTCCTCTTCCAGTATATATAAGAATAGGTTATAACCATTGACAGTTATTATGGTGCCAGCTGGGGACGCAATTGTGCCCTCGTCCTGTAAACATCTTCTAAGGCACTCAACGGCCATCGCAAACCCCAGCAAAGCATATATATATCGGGTTTAGTGATGATGTTTGTTTACAGTTCATTAGGGTATGTTTCAAAATAATTTAGTAAAAAGTATCGATAAATCTTACCATGTCATTGGCCGACTGTGCAGTCTCTCTTATTTTCTGAACCCAGTCAGTCATTTCGTCTCTCGAAGGAGCTGCAATTTCTATTGGATGTACCTGTGTGGGAGAGACGATTCGGAAAATCCAGTCTCTCCCTCGACTCGCTCGATTGTGTTGAATGTCTGGAGAGTAAATTTAGTTATTTAATTTAAACAAAATTTCTTTATTCATTTAACATTATTTATTAATGTACATAAAATAGACATTAATTTTATTTAAAATTAGATATGTTGAAAATAAAGAAAATACATTAAAATAATTCTAATTTGATTTCAGAATTAATAATAATCTTAATTCCTAATTTTTTTTCCTACAAAAACTTACATATAAATTGTAACATTAAAAAAAAATGATTTTATAGCAAATTCATTTCGTTTTTTTAATTTAAATTTTTTCAATATTGACATTCTACCAATATGATTCCTAATGTAATAAAGATAGAAATATCACACATATTATTTAAATTTATATTTAATATATTTAATTCTGAAAATATTTAATTAAAATATAAGATAATGTCCTTAACTCAATTTATTAGAATAAATAAATAATCTGCCAGATTTTTATCAGGCTATTTTAAGTTTGTTTCAGTTTACTAATTAGACTCAAAATATCCCAATAAAATATCTGGCAGATCATTTGGTTAATTAAAACGTAGGTTTTCAATCAAACAAACTCCAAGAAACATTAATAATTTCAACATAGGGAGTGAAGCAATTCAATATTGTTTTAGGAAATATTCAGCTTTCAACAAAGATCTATGCTTCATCAATTATAGTTAAGATTATTTACTACTTCCAGAAAAGTCTCTTTTATAATTAAATCATATTGCAATTGTAAGAATAATCATTTTATTGTTATAATGCCAATGAAAACGTGTATAAAAACACAAAATTCTAATGTTGGATTTCAATCCATTATTATAAGAAAATAAATGGTACTGTTTTTGGCTTTACTACAGCCATTATCAGCTTTGCACTCAATATATATATAATATTAATTTACAAGACATCATAAAAATTTAAAATTTCAAATGTTTAACATATTAAAAAAAAAACACTTTTAGTTCTCACAATCTTTAAAAGATATCAAATGACAATAAATTGCTCAAGAGTTGCAATTTGACATTTAAAACTTTGTGAATTAGATGCGACTGTTTTTAGATCTAACCGTATTTTCTGATCAGTTCAATTTATTGCAAGAAAAATTGGTTTTAATATTTAATTTCTTTTATAAATTATTCTTAAAGAAATTCACTTCACATATAGCACTTTACATCATATAATCAACAATTACACAATTTTAAGCGGGTAAATATTCAAAAACATTCAAACAAATCTTGAATGAGAGTGTTTTAAAACATTTTCAAAAATGTTGTTACATTTAATAATAAATTATTATGAAATTTTTAATTTTTGAATGTAATTGAATATTTTGGAAGATATTGTAAAGCTAGACAAAAATATACAATAAAACCTGTCTAAAATGGAACACAATAGAATTTTCCATATTGGCAAATTTCTATTTTACATACAATTATTTTCTTTTTAAATGTATAAAAAGAAAAAGTTACTGGAACTGCTACCCCTCCAATGTATCTTCTCCTCCACCATAAGTGTTTTATATGTTTGAAAAAATGGTCAGGACAATAAATATAAACTTAAAAAAATTACAAAAATTTTTAAATAGACAATACTCACTTCATCTACTCACTTCACTACTCACATCAATCTACTCACTTCATCCCTTTGCACATCATCAGAACAGAACAGTCTCATGGTGAAGACGGCCTTTCTTTAGAGGCTTTTCCTCCTTGTCAATATGTAAAATGTTAAAACCTTCCCTCTGGTAACAATACTATCAATTAAAAGATACATTTGATAAAATGGCTTGATAATGTGTGAAAGGAACAAAGTGATAAGACACTTTAAAGTATTGACCCACAAATTAAATAATAAATGCTCCACAGAGGAAAACCAAGTCATAACCGAAGGATTAGTGTTTGCTAAAATTAATTTGTTATAAACCAACCTCCTGAGATCAGACTCTTGCAGTTCTAGAATCTTGAACCAATAACGAAAAATAACCATAGTTAAACTTATAGTCAATGGTAGTCTACCTTAATTCAGATCTCAAAACAGGTCTAAGAACTGAATGATTAAGATGAAAATTGATCTAATGAATCTCAATTGTGAATTCTCCAACACAGATGGATGTCAATAAGACATGGATCCCAAATAGAAAACATAAAACCTAAGTTTGATCATATCGAACAATCAAAAGTATGACTTAACAGAAGATTGCTTCATTCTAATCATAAACTCTATTACATTACATTAGCAAGTTTAAGTTTAAATTTTGTAATTACCTTCTCTAAATGTAAAAAAAAATTAGCCCCATGGAGTGAAATAAATACCCAAATATTATAGGACAACACCACTTCTAATTCAGAATTGAATAAATAGAATTTATCAGCCTTTTACAACTTACCTCCTCTCCAGAAAATCATTACCTCAGATTTAGCCTCATTAATATGTAGTCTATTAGTGTAAAAGATAATTCTGTAAAAGATTAAGTTTCCGTTGAAGACCAATAGGAGTATAAAAAATTACTGCAATACAGTCAACCCCCTATAAGATATAGATACGTTCCAATTTATTAGAAATCCGATTTCTTACAAGTCGTTCCAATCACAGCTTGACACGTGTCAAGTTTACGGACTACGGCTGATTGAAAGGTTTTCTTCCATAAAATTAATCAATTCTACACTAATCCGACTCAACATTTCCAAAATACGTATATTTTTTCGTAGTTTTATAGGAATCGTAATTATAGGGACCGTAATTATAGGGGGGTCGACTGTAT